GAAATGCAATTTCTAAAGTGTCACTTATCTTAGAATACTTCACACATCTGTTTTTGTTAGTATGACCTCTTGTGTAGATAGGTCTTTGTTTTTTTGGCGAGCATAGATGCTCCACCTGTCTTGAAAAAGTTTTATCACACGAATGACTCCGCTGCACATGTGCAGGTGCTCTGTCAAAGCGAGTCGACCTGTGTATATATTCGTGCCTCTCCTTTATTAACTTTAGTTGAGAGTCAGTTCTCGTGTTGTCTTATACTTCATCTGCATCCTTCTTGCGCTGCGAGATTTTGAAAATGAACTATTACCAACCAGCCCAGATGTCCCTTCTTGTTTGAATATCAGCGTGTGGTTTCGAGTGCTAGCACGCGCTAGCGCGTTCGCTATTTCATCAGGCATCAGCTAATGGCTCGTTTACCCTTCTACACGCTATATCACTGCACGAACCATGCTTATTTTCCCTGAAGCAGCCGTATTCCCATACACTAGTGTTTTAGTTTCGCGAGATCAGATAAAAAGAGTTAAATGCAGTCTAAGTTCATTATGGGTAGGGCCCCTAACTTTATGCAGTGGAAAACTTGGAACTCTGCAATTCCAGATAGAGAAATCTGCGAAATTCTGTGGCAACCCTAAACATGCAAAATTCTGCAGCAATATTGACCAAATACAAGAAGGCACACGTTAGAATTTATTTATCACACTTTCAGGCTCGCAACATGTCTGCAATAATTAAAATTGGAGAAACCTGTTGTGGCACAGCATCAGATGGTGTTTGGTGCTCTCTTCATTTGGAGAATGACGCTTGTGGGACACAGTGTCACCATAGCGACTTAATGATTTCTCTGCATAAACAGAGTTGATTGGTATCGCCAAGTATTTCAAGGTGATTTATGAAAGCATTGGAGTAAGATGCTCCATCCCTGCCCAGAAAGGCCAGGATATCAATGTCTGTTCCTGGATTTTGTTGCTTGGACACAAATGGAGCCAATCCCCTGTCACTGATCTTCAGTTCTTGTGCAGTTTTCAGGTAAATCTGCCATTCGGCTGCTAAAGCTACTGATTCTCCTGCAAGCTGAGGCACACCTGTCAACTCTGTCCTCTTCTGTGGAAGGCACCGAGGATATAAGCACCTTGAAGAACTGCCACCTATTGGACGTTTCCAAGTATACCTGAGGTTTATTAGCCGCTTTGGTCATTGCAGCCTTCATCTTGCTTGCAATTTGATTGACCTCATTATGTGCAACATCTCTCTTTAGCTGTGTTGCAAAATCCTCCTTCAAAGCTGCTTCAAGGTACCCCAAAAGGGTAAACAATGCATTGTACGCTTAGTGGCAGGCTACGCACTGAACCTCTGCTACTTTCAGCAAGCTTGAAACCTTTTTCCCAAATACCGCAATGCACTGCATACTGTACCTGAGCTCAGTTGAGTCTTCACTAAGCAGTTTCCAAAAAAATTCAACACACGCTGCTTCACCATACTTCTGGTGTACTTGCTGAAACAATGAAAGATAGTGCTCAAAGTAGGCAGAATGTTGTTCCGCAGCCTCAATCCATGAATTCCACCTGCTTTGGACAGGTGCTGGTAGAGCTTTGGCACACTGAACTCCACACTCTTCCAGGTGTGATTTATAGAAGGCTCTTTCTGCTCGACAGATGGAAGAACTTCATCATACAAGCGACAAACTTGTCCACTAAGGGAAAAGATGCCTACAGTGTGCTACCAACAATGTTCACTGTATGGGCTACACACGTAATGTGAACAGCACTCTCACAAAATGGCTTTATGTACTCCTTACAAGACTTCACTATGTACACTATGTAAGTGGTGTTATCGCTAACAAAGCCCGATACATCCTCAAACTCAACTCTATACCTCGTCAGTGTCCTTTTCACGATGCGTCAAATGATGGATGAGTTCACTTCATCCACGAATTTCACTTCCATGAGCACAGGTTGTAGCGCAGCACTCTCCGTTCTGGCCGACTGAACTAACAACACGTTCACAACCGATTTTGATCGGCCGTCGGTGGTTTCAATTGTAATTACAGAAACTGTGGTGCCTTGAAACATATCTTTCAAATTTGCCTCGTCCTTCTCGAACAATTCTGGAAGTCGTTGGCGGAGCACATCAGGTGCAGGCACCGATCCCCCATTCCGAACGTGTCTGCAGAAACGTTCTCGCTTTCGGATTGTCCACCTTCTCAAGGGGAATATTTGCGGATATTAGTGCATCCAAGAACTTGAGCACAACGTCGTTCCTGGCTTCAACAGCTGTGATTGCAGATTTCAGCGTTTGCAACCGACTTTGCTTTCTCGGTGTTCCTGAACCCCCAACCCAGTCTTTCGATGGTTCTTTGCCGCTTTTTCGCTTAGAGGAGTCCCTTGTTCCGACATTCTTGAAATGACGGTTGCTCTCTGTGTGCTCATCAATAGTTGACATGTGGCGATGGTTAACTACTCTGTCAACACATGGCTGTCATAAAACAGAAGAGAGTGGCTCTTTTGTGCAGAGCTGCAGATAATCAACAAGAACAGAAGCCTGACGTTGCTACGCACAGCATTTTAACAGATAAGTGCACCTGTTAGTTACAACTGCTCACACTTGGAAATTCGTTCTAACCTTCACCAAGTACAAAAAAGTATCTTTGAAGTTCAAGATCACAGAGTGAGCTTTCCAATGACTGCGAACGAGTGGTGGCGTGTTTTTCTCACCCTATTGAGATGGCTAACAAGATACCAGCTTTTTCAGCAACATCCACTTCCTGAATGCTTGTGATCAATTGTAAGATAACTGTGAGCTCGTTACACCTACTGTTGCAACTTTTTTTATTCATGCTAGTTACTTGACAAGGAATGATAACAGAAACACCTTATCGGAGGCTAACGCATGGCTTGCATGACAAAGAATACCGAAATACACGGCATAGTTACAGAACACAAAAACGACAGTGAGTGGTGTGATGTGCCCACGGTTCCCAAATTAGCTGGATGCTATCCCACTCCACCACTCCGAAAGGCAGAAGAGCAACAAGGAGTGCCGTTTCCCCACAGCTACACAATTTAAAAAAGCATTGACAAAATCTCACGCCAGTAATACTACCACGACTTCCGTTTCCTTACAAAAGGTTACTGTGGCTCTTCCCTGATGGGAGCAAAGTTTCTCTTAGTTTTAATTGGGTATTCCCGGACTTTCCAATACCCCTGAGAATGCACAGTTTTTCTGGTAAGTAGACATATTGCAGGTTTTTCATGCACTAAAACAACGATATCAAAAAAAGGATTTCTTAACCATAACAGCGTTTCGGCAATCTGACTAGGACTATTTTTTATGCACTTATGCACTTACAGGCAATCCCGGATATATCAAACTCAGATATAACAATTATTAGCTATAACAACCAGTTGAAAAATCCTTTTGAATTTCCCATGTAAAGGTGTGGGACCGGTGCAACCGTATATCAAACACCCACACAGCGGGACATCCTCTATATCAAACGCTGGACCGTGCCAAGCCTGGAAAGCACATTTTTCTTAGCAAATATTGATCAATTTTCGGCCACATTCTAACAAGTTCCGATGCCCTTGCCTGCGCAGGTGACAAAAAGGCGGTGTTATTCCACCGTGCTGATCTGGTTCCTTGCACGGTATATTTGATGCACAATCTGCAGGTCTTAACCCGCAGGCATAGTGTTATTTAAAAAGACCGATTGCCGAGGACACCCAAATAAAAATGCGAAGTGACACAAAGATCTCATTGCAGAGTTCGCATGCCCTTCCTTGTTTGTTAGCACACAATAGCATGCGAGTCTGAAAAGCATGGCCTTCGGAATGTCCAACCTCATGATGTATCTTTGGTGTTTTTGGTCCTCGGCTGCCTTGGAGGCTACGCTTTTCCTGGCTTCTCGCATCAAAGCAGCGGCTGCGAGCTACAGAGCCACAAGTGACATGTATATCGCTAACATGTCGACGGTAGGAACTCGGTGTTGTCTTTTGCGCTTACTAGACTTGTGTACTTCTCGCCTTGTTTCTGATAAACCCTCATTTGGGAGTTGAACTGAACGTTGACCCGCACAAAGCTGTAATTATCATTGGCACTTGGAGCAATGTAAAGCATCGTCATAAACTTTCCTTGCAGGCCGGGTTTACGAATGTTTACAACAGCTGCCGGGATTTCACTAGTATTAGCTCGGCTCCGCTTTGTCAGAGTGTACTAACTTTGCGCGCAACCCATTTTATCTGGAAGCAAGCAGAATATATGCACAAAACAGAGTGAGAGAGAAATAGAGAGGAACAGCAGGGAGGTTAACCAAGGTTGGCTACCCTACACTAAGGGTTGGGGAAAGGGGGAATAATAGAAAGTAAAGAGATGGAAATGAATGAGTAAGAAAGATATGGGTAAATAGTCAGCTCAAGACAACACAGCACAGTCTCACACTGTTCTTTCACAAGTGCTCGTGAAGTCCGGTGATCCTTAAGAGCAAAGTCAGAAAAAGATCACTAGAGAGAGAGACAAAGCAAGGAAAGGCAGACTGATGGGTTGGGATAAACATGAACGATAGGACAAAGTGTGAACGAATAAGTGCAACACTTAGAGGGAGCCGGCACCGAAGCCAAAAGCCGATGTAGGGAAGTTACACTTCATTAAAAGTGTTTCATTTTTCCATGCAAGTCCTGAAAAACAGAGGGCTTGTCTACTTGCACTGGGGCATTGGTGTAACACCTGTTGTGCCCACTTCCTATGCAGCTGGTGATGACATGGTGAAGACAAGAGTAACTGATTTTTGTCTGTTTTTGACACTACTGAAAATTTCAAGCAACATGCAATGCACCAATATGAGTCATGTCTCCTTGATATCTGTGAAATGCATTTCAGGCTTCCCTCAAACAACACCTTCTAAGAAATGAAGAAGTATGTTGTATAAAAAAGTGTAATTTTCAAGGGAAAGCCAATATAAAAACTATCAAAGAAAACAAAAAGCGACAGTATGTGTCAGCCTTCTCACCTTCTTTGTGTGACCCTTCAGCACAGCTACCACTTGTTCAGTGTCTTTATTGAAGACAGCTGCATTTCGGTCGCTGCCACCTGTGAGGATGCGGTCAGTGGGGCTCACATCTAAGGCCAGGATACCCGGCAGGCCAGCACTATGCAAACCTGGGTGTGAACCCAGCGTTTGATAAGCTCGAAGATCTTCAGGCTTGGCCAGATCTTCCGGAATGGCCTTGCCCCTCTTCTTTCGCTGTGCTGTTAGCAAGGCAGCCTTTTCTTGCAGGCGGCGCACCACCTCGGCAGTCATGCCACCAGCCTCCTCAGTTGTCTCCATAGGAACAGCCTCCACGGCAGCTCCCGCAGCACCACCACTACTTGCAGCTTGGGGTTTGAGTGTGGCCAAGGCCTCTCGAGCCGCTGTCACTTCCTTCGTTAGACGTGCAATAACACGGCAGGCAGCATCATGCTGGTACAGTGTGTGTGAAAGCTCCTGTCGTGCTGTCTGTAACTGCTGTCGCAAGGAGAAACTGTGCAACATCACAGCATCCCACTCATCCTGCAAAGCCTTTAACAAGGCAGGCACACTCGTAGCAGAGGGTGGTCGTGGCTTGGCTATAGGAGCAACCTTCAGATCAATAAGCATATCTTCTGTCAGTGGCTGGCCATTGATAGGGTCCGTGCCATGTTCTCGAATATACTTTGAAATGAGGCGGCGTTCAAACAGACTTCCAGATGCTGGAGACACCACCGGTTGCTCCGGTGTCTCGTTGCTTAATGCGCAGCAGAATGACATTGCTGCTGCCACCAGGTTTTCTCAGCCTGAAAAAGGACAACAAAGTAAATTTTCAGGACAAAACTATTTTGGTACAAGTTTTCAAGCAGTTTCTTGGTTGTAAAACAGAGAAAGATAATGCACATCCCAACTCTACTACTACGACACTTCACTTTCCTCTTAAGGCTGTTTCACATGACCCGAAAAGTAGCGATTTGCGGGCTGCAAATTCACTTGCAGCAAAAAATGGGGCAGTTCGCTCCCGTCCAAGCGGTCTGTGGTGAGCTACCAACATGTTGGAGAAAATTTTTTCGCTCTGATTGCAGCGGCAGAGTGATTTTGTGGTAGAGACCCGCCGAAATAGGCTCGGTCCCACCAAGCCGTCTAAATTGCGTCAACGTGTCTGTTTTGGTAATGGCCAACGTTGCACATTATAAAATGAATTTAGATTGGAAAGTGTTCCTAAATGATGAAACATACGTGCTCTTCATTACCATTAATGGAAACTCAATAATATTATAACGCACAGATTGCTACATTACATTTGGAAAACTCTTCAGTGTATGCCACTAAAAATGGCGTCAAAAAACATTGCTCGCCACGACAGTCGCAGAGCAAAAATCACAGAGCATTTGCAGTCCATGTGAATCGAAGCCGCCATTAACGGCGGTTGAGCGAATGGAGCGATTGAAATGATTTTTTTCACTGCAATTGTGGCATGAGAAACAGCCTTTAGAAGGAGGACACATGATACATTTACGCTGCTGGCACAAACTTCTATCCAAGTATTGTTTGCGTTCCCTGCCATAATAGCTTAGCACGTAAAGTGTCACACTACTAGGATTGAAAACGCAGGTTCAATTCCTGTCTAGGGTGACCACATTCAATGGCAGCGAAATGCAAGCCATGCAAGCTTAGATTTAGGTGCAGATGAACAAACACCAGGTGCTTTAAATTAATCCAAAGTACCACACTACGGCGTGCCTCATAACTATACTGTCTCTTTAGCATTTAAAACCCCAGAAGTTACGATGAAATATTTTGTATATTCTGACACTGTAATAGTACATAAGTGCTACAAAATACTTTGCAAATATAAAGTATAAAGAATAACACTTTCACTACACACGTGTCTCAGCATTAATGTACTGACAGCTTTAGAATACAATCTGTCTTGTGCACTTTGACAATATTTTGAGCATATTAGCAGACTGCTAAAGCCCTTGCTTTTTGAGAGAAAAATGTTGAAGAAAGCACACCCATATAAACAACCTGAAAATTTAATAATGAGATTTAATGCCACCAATGTACAGTGACAATAAAATTTGGAGATCACAGGCATGCATGGCAAACAAACAGCACCGCTGCACCTTCTCACGACTACCAGAGAAGCTTGAGAGTGCTCACTGCGCAGATGCATCCTTTTGTACCTTCCCGGCTGCGCTTTCACTCCCTTCAACTGGGCGCACACCGGAACGCCAAAAAAATCACAAGTTGTCACTTTTGCAGTTGCCTTGGATGCACTGAGCGATGATATTGTGACAAAAACACATAACTTCTAGTGGCATTGCTTGGTGCATGCCACTTCTTTGCCTTCGTTTTAGACATTCCACAGCAGCGAAAACACGTATATGGCGTGCTTCACCAAGAGACATCACTGCTTGGTAATCTTACCACATGTCGATTAATAAAAAAAAAAAAACTGACGCAATATGCATGTTTTCAGTGCTGCAGAGCATCTGGAACCAAGTGTACAAGCAGCACACACTGAGTACTGCCACTACAAGTGTTGAGTATTTTTGTCACGATATCACTGCTTGGGGCTTCCGCAGCGACTGCGAAAGAAACACCTTGCGATTTTCTGGTGTCCCGTAGTTTTCCCAGTTGAAAATAGCGAAAGCGCAGGTTTGTAGGTACAAAAGGATACACGTGCACAGTGCGTGCTCTCGAGCTTTTCTGGCAGCGGTGAAAAGGCGTTGCAGTGCTGTACGCCACACGCTTCCATGGTCTCCAAAATTTTAATCGCCACTGTACTCGCAGGATTAGCAAAGATTACTTTGTGGTGCACGTCAGGGTTGCGGAGTTGCCACTCCACAAGTGCTCAGTGTAGGCCTAGAACTCCTTGTGACATGTGCAACGCATTTTTTGTACATGTGTACTTTCTGTAAGAAAAAAATTTCCTTTACTAAATCATGAGATACAAACTAGCCCACCCATTACAAAGAATTCAAGATTGCCAACCAGCCCCTACTATTTGTGCAAGGGTCTGCATATTTCGATCAATTACTAACAAGGGGGTACACTCATGAAAACAGTTCACGAAAGAATAATAATGGGCTAAAGCATATACAACAGGCTCTTAAGGAGTTACAACTCACAAATCTTTTCACTAGATTTTTTTTGGCCAGAACGCTACTAAAATAAAGGTTTTTCTTTATTGGCCCATTTGATTTTACTTGTCCTGAAACCACTAAAAAATATATAAAGGCGCTTTATTCACAAGATACAAACAAAATGCTTTTTTTTTAAGGGCTACTGACACAAAAACTTTGGCGTCGTGTTTCTTTTCTGATGGGGGCCTGTCAGTCATAACACGGCACATCATTTGCTGTAGCACGTGACTGATAACTAATTACAGGCAGCTCATTAACGACAATTTTCTGTTTCGGCTTGAGAGAGCTCCAAAAACAACAAGCCGCCAGGTGCAACTATCGCCACTTAGCGTGTGCAGCTCTCAACCACATCAGAACACAGAACTGTGTCACTATTTCGCGCAGTCCGCATGAAGAAGTTCTTCCAAATAGAAAATGGAACTTTAGTGTCATCAAACAAAACTTTCAACGTGTGCACCATGGCCATGCACTCGTGACCAGCCACCGAGAAACATACTTCTTGGTGGCACTTCTTGGTGTTAAGTTGTAGGCCTGCAGAAGCTAGACACGTCAGAATCTCGTGGAGACGACGAAGATGTGTCGGGAAATCAGCTGAAAAAACTACGATGTCATCTAGGTAACACAATCACCAGATTTGCGCCGTCAAGGACGCGAGACCGTACACGTCGACCATCTCAAGCCCTACTACGACCCCCTCATTGTGCCTACTCCCTGAGTCGCCAGGATGGCTACCCTTCACCCTGGGGGGGGGTATTGTAGTGGAGCATACGCACCAACGCGTATGCGCCTTCGGAAGATCACGAAAAGCCCGTGCTCTGCTTGCGCGAGAGTTTGTGCCGCCTTTGCCAGACTTGCCGTATGCCCACTTTCCGTTGCGACTTCTCTGCTCGAATAAACGTCATCACAACTGCTGGAATAAATGCGGCAAAAGAAAAAATGGCGGCTACGACCTCATCATAAGTTCTTTTATTGATGCAGCGTGGTGACATGGGGGAAGTTAGGGGGTCCCCAAGGTATCCCTTAGGATGGTGTCAATACCTTCAAAATTCAAACATCAGAAATGCTGTAAAATACCTTCCAAGCTATATTCGCTGTAGATATTTTGCAAATGATACGCTCAGGTTCATGGGAATAGATCCAGCAGGCTATCTCGGCCACGAAATTGTGTGTCAGTATCTCTTTAATGTGCAGAGAATCGGCTTCACTTCACCACAAAGTGCCCAAATATCTTTACTCTTCAGTGCAGAAGGTGTCTCTGAAGATATAAAAAAAAAAGAAAGTGGGGCACTTACACACTAGTGGTGAGGAGATTGAGAAATCAGTGGAGCAACTTTCTCTGTTTCCTCCTCCTGTTCACCCTCACTTCCCTTTCCCATCCATTCTTATTGTACTTATCATCATCATATTTACTACGTCCACTGCAGGACAAAGGTTTCTCCTATGTTCCACCAGTCAACAGGTGTCCTATATACATGACTATTCTATTTTACCCTCTCCCCTCCCTACTTACACTCACTTCCCTTTCCCACTTCCTTGCTTTACTATGCATGGCTATTGTACACCTTCCCTGTATTTCTGTTTTTTCTACCACTTTTTGTGTATGTTTCTCTTTCTCTCGGTGTGGTTCTTCCTCTGTCCTACTTTTTTTTTATTGTTTTTCCCCATTTCTATTTCTTCCTGAATCTCTCTCTCTCTACTTGTTCTCTCGCCCATCAGTTATTGCGCCCCTCAATAAACTAATCAGCACGTGTGTTGTGGGACTGAAGCAGGAGAAGAGGGTGATCAGAGCATGTGCATGATGATAATTTTTGTTTGCACCACTTTACACAATGAAAAGCTTAAACAGCTCTGCTATTAAAAACGAAGTGCAGGGACAAAAGAAACTGTGTAGAAAAAAAACCTGGGATGTGCCGGTAGAAGTTTGTTTAGATCTATCAGCATACTTTGCTACTACAGTTATACATGGTCTTTATCTAAATCTGATCATTTAGAGAAAATGGGCCGCTCTGTGTAGTCGCTGCCACACTTACTGGACAACTGAAAATCTTCATACCACAAAACTTCGACGAACAAGCCTGCATTTTTTTCTCTTTTTCCAGAACAGAGCTGTTACCGAAATGTGCACACTGCTCGCGCACAGAGTAGGATGCTGTTTTTTTACTTGCAATTACCATAATCGAGTGCTTTCTCGACGAAAACATATGTTTTCAATGCATGTTTTAAAATTTTGATTGCACCATCTTCTTTAAGCTAAGGAGAATTCAGCAACATGAATCAGGGTAGCTTAACTGTGGTGCCCCCAATTGCTGCTTTTAGATTAGGCAAGCTAACCTCATCTTCAGTAGGCAATGGGTTAAAGCAAGAGGTATACAATCAATGCATTCTGCGGTACTAACACGTGGGATAGAAACATAAAGGGTAACAAAGAAAATTCAGAAGCTTAAGACTATTTGGAATGGTAAAACAAAGACATAGGTGTAACATTGAGACAAGAATATGGCACAGTGGATAAAGAACAAACAGGAGTAGCCTATGTTCTAATCTGTGTCGTGAAAAAAAAAATGAAGCTGGAGAGCGCACATAATGCAGAAGACACCTGATAGTCAGATAGAAAAATGAAGTGGGTATCAAGGGGTGGGAAGCTCAGTTGAGAT